CAGAAGACTTACCAACCGTCCAGAAATTTCACGCAATGCTTCTGCCCAGCGGGATGTTGAATCTGCCATCATACTCACATTGTAGCCCATATCTCTGAAGTATTCAGCTAAAGTAATTCCTGAAAGACCAAAATAACAATATATGAATTAATTGCCAGAGACAAAGTAACTCTCACATGAAAGGTCACTTGTCATCCAGTCATTCAATGTGTCATATCTCTAGGCAGCACTAATAGGGTATACCTGTATAAATTGATGCCTCACGAGCAGCCACTGGCATATTAGAAGTGTTAGCCACAAGTGTAGTACGCTTCATGACAGATTCTTCACGACCATCAGGCAATGTCATTGTTAATTGAGGGAAATCCATAAGAACCTGCAATATGTGGTCACTCAGGACATGATTTATCGTCCCCAACTCTCCATAGAAGAAAAAAGAGAGTGATAATAATAGTAATAATAAAACATCAAAAGAAAACCTCAGCCATCTCATTTCCACGTTCCCCACAACCAACATACACAACTGCATCAGAATTAGAATACTGCAAACAAAAAAAAAAGAAAAAAAAAATTAGACAAACTACAAAAATTGCCTGATGCAAGCAAAAGAAAACTGCATATAAAGATAGAAACTTCACCTTGGAAAGAGCTTGGCTAATAACAGTTTTACCACAACCAAATGCACCAGGAATGGCACAAGTTCCACCAAGAACTGAGGGGAAAAGAGCATCAAGAACACGCTGACACAAAAAAGAAAATAATGTCAGGACACATTCTTGAAAATGAGCCAAATAGAACCATACATCATCTGCAACTGCTTACCTGCCCTGTAAGCAGTGGGGTATCTGCGGCAAGTTTTGCTGCAACAGGCCTTGGGGTACGAACAGGCCAGGTCTGCAAATGAGTGCAGAACATGCCAAAATTAAAAATAAAAAATTATAATAAAAAAAGAAACAAAAATTTCAGTTTCAAGAAATCATTTAATTAGAGAAGAACTAATGGTATAGTGATAAATAACAATATCAAAACCTGAAGCATGGTGAACTGTTTTTTTACACCTTGAAACTCAAGCTCCAAGACAGTATCCTGAAAATATAGTAACAAGTAAGAAACAGCTTAAATCTTCAAGTTCTCTGAATGCTTAGAAATGGACTAGCATAAAATTTTAAAGAGCAGACCTTCAATGAATATTGACCAGGAGGTGCAATATAAGTTATCTTTCCCATTGCCTCAGGAGGGAGGGCAACATGATGTTGCATCAAACTGTTCTCAAAGACAATCTGAATTTGAAAATATCAAGTCAAATAATCAGAAGAACTAAATAAAACTCAAATGAACAGAATCGATATTTAACGTATATTTTCCAAAAGGAGCTCCTGGTCTAGGCACGTTCATTTAAAAAAAACAGGCATCAAATTTATCTGTAAATACATAAAAATTATATTTTACAATCTTTTCAGTGTCTGAATTGTGCAGCAGATTAATAAAGAATTCAACAGCATGACTTTTCAGGTGACTCATGCCAAAGGAGACATAGGTGCCTAGTGCTGAGAAATGTATTTTGACTTTTGTTTACAACTTTACATTAAGCACTACTACCAATTAAAATGTAAGGCAAGTCAACTTACAGCATACAAGTCCCCGCCAGTTAGAAGATCCCCCTCACCTGCATCCAGTAGGTAAAATATTGCATCAAATTTCTGAGATCAAATTAACAACCATTATCAATTGCCTATGAAAACATGAATACCTAAATTTTTAGGCTGAAACTCCCACAGAACATCTTTGTCAAGAGCTGGGACAGAGACTCCACGAGGGATATATACATCACCAGATCTCTTTGCAATAGTTTTCAATGGCCTCTGAAAAATGGAGTCATAAGAGGGACAAGAATTCATTAGCAAAACCTCTTAAATGGGGATTGGGGATGACATTTAATTTAAGTTCTTAGCTTGAAAGCAGTATTCAAAATGAAATAAACTTGGAAAAGAACTACAATAATCTGTAAACTTTAAACAGCAGGGAATTGAAGCCAAACCTGAATACCATCAAATATATTCCCCAATATTCCTGGTCCCAACTCCACTGATAGTGGCTGCAACATCAACATACAGTTATAAGCTACAAGACAATCAGTCCACCAACTTGATTATCTAAGCATAAAAATAAAGCCTTATATGCAGTAAAGAACATGATTTCACCTTGTGTGTTCGCAAAACTGGATCATTAACCATTAAACCTGCTGTTTCTTCATAAACTGAAAAAAGAGTAGAGGAAAAATTATTGTCCAAGACTCACTTCTGCCATGAATCCCGTTATAGGCATGGATAACACATAAATTACTACCTTTTCTTCTGTTATAATTCTTTTTAAAAGACAAATACAATGAACAAATGGGAAAAAAATAACATAATATTGATAAAACACCTTGGATTGTGGCAGAGTCTCCTTCCAACCGAATGATTTCACCGATCAGATTATCATGTCCAACTCGGACTAGCTCATACATGGCAGCACCAGCCATTCCATCTGCAACAACGACCGGTCCCGATACCTGCCATCCAGAAGCAATAAAACGTTAACCAAACCCAAAGATCTCCAGACGATCATCACAAAAACAACATTAAGACTATCAATTAACTAAAACGCAAGTTCAAATCTATTAAAACCAGGTTTATATTAACAGTGATGATAGCAGAGGCAGATCCAAATCCATTATAAAGAATCAATCTGATCCCTCCAGATTTCCGCTTCAACAAAAATACAATCAAAACAATTACTTTAGAATTTGAATTGGATTAAAAAATATCACAACATCACAGATCGCCGGAGAACTGGAGAAACGAATCCGATTGCTATGACTATGGACTTCAGAAACCGATAATTCAGGTTCAAAATTAATAGGAAAAAAAGCAATTACCTTACGAACATAACCATACTCGCTCTCCTTCTCGGAATCCTCGAATGTGGTCAACCTTGCTCCGTAAACTGCCGGCATTTTGTCGTGAGACAGATAGACAATTCCGGCTGGTTTTGCTTGTGGATTTCAAGATCTGATCAACAGAGACAGTAGAATTATAACGATAGCGATTAAAACCCTAGAGTTTCAATCTGCGAATGCAAAGCGCCAACTCACAGAGACGAAGCCAGAGAAGAGAGAAGGGGAGAGCTTGATTATGTCACCTGTGTGTACTTGAGTGATATGAGAACTCTACCACTCTTTTTACAATCTGCATAAATGGACACAGGACGGAACGATTATACCAGTTTGGGTTGTGGGGAGGAGTAACCTGTGCACATTCCCATCGTAGAGGATGCAGTTTAGCTGTTTATGGTAAATGGTAATGTATATTGTAAATTTTGTTAAAAACATTAAAAGTTATAGAATTTTTATTTTAATTTAATTATTAAAATAGTTTATAATTA